ACATTTTCTTTCGTAATTCAGTAAAATATTCACATAAATATAATTCATTTTGTTTGCGTTTCATTTTCGATGTAACTGCGGCACTATTTCTTGTTTTGAGAAAATTAAACAAAATCTATAATACTTTTCAGGAAATTTTTTAAAGATATATCATAATTTTGGGGGGAAATATTAAACAAAATCTATCGTATTTTATTTTTCTTTGGACATTACTGACATGGAAAATCACAGGAGAGGATGGAAGGATATTGTTTATAGTTTGTTATGAGACCATAGTGAAGTAAACACAGCCAGACGTGATGTTAAGGAAGACCGACTCGTAGTGTAGTGCTGTTGTTATAATGTATTAGTGAGCGTGAATAACTAAGGTCATTAAGGACTTATTTTAGTGTATGGAGAGACGCAAGTAATCTTATATAACGCCAACAGGAAACAGTAACACACTTTATATAACGCCAACAGGAAACAGTAACACACCTTATATAACGCCAACAGGAAACAGTAACACACCTTATATAACGCCAACAGGAAACAGTAACACACCTTATATAACGCCAACAGGAAACAGTAACACTTGTAGTGACAACAGTAATGAGACTGTCTCTCTCCGGATCATATACTGTTACCACAATCAGCTGGACAAATCTCGGCGTACTCCATCCTCCTCATTCATGGTGCTCCTCTGTTCCTCCTCTATCCTCCACCCAACCTCCCACAGCAGCGTGAACAAGGTCAACCCCCTCCTGCATCACCTTCTAGGTCATGGGCGTGGCCTCCTACCCCAGCTGACCTTTACTGTAGATAAGGAGCGTCACCGAGGAGCGCAACCCCTGTGATATAGATGTAAACAAGAAGGTGTGGCCTTGTTCTCCTGCCAGCCAATAGCCTTTCTTTTCGCATAGATTTGCTCCGCCCCCGCTGGGCTAACGCGGTGTTAGATGTACGATAACAAGCACTTTCCATCAGAAAGTCGGCTTGCAACGACAACGACGATGACACAGGGCCCTTGGTGCTGGACTCAGCCCTCCTCCCCTCTACTCCCCTCACCCTCATCCTCCCCTCAGACTATGATGCACCTCCTTCACTCATGCTCTTCTCTACCCTTTTGTTATTTTTTTTATGCTAGGATTATTTTTTTTGTGGAAACAGAATTGATCCGGAAGCTGCCAGGCTGGTTCAGCGGTGTTTATCATAAATTATAATAATAATGCCGTTAGAAAAATAGATTTGATTTTTCCTCGTTCATTCCGCACCAAGTTTTCGTAATAATGCGACTGAAGATTAAAAAAAAAAACGACAGATGAAATCGAGTAAAAGATTATTAGTGTTGAATATGTTAATCTTTCTTTCTATAAACAATTTACTCATCTTCGAAAATTTGACAAAGTTCATTAGTTTAGATGCTGGAGGTTTTCAACCTGAGACGTACCCAGAATCTACTCCTGTCACCGTAATATTGATGGGCGAATCTCACACGAACCTTTCCTCTTCGTTCTTCTGTACTGCTTTCATCTTTCCATCTTTAGAAAATCCTACTCCAAGATGTCCTCAACTCCTTCCTTCCCAAGTCCTTTCATTCCCGCCGACCCATTACCTTTGACATTCGGCAATACCTCCCCTTCAGCTCCCCCCACCTAAAGTGAGCTGGTCCTTCAATCCCAACACTCCTGAAGTTCCTTAAAAAGTGAACTTACCCATCCTAAAACCCTTTATCCGAATTGCTCCTTAAAAATGAGCTGAACCTAATGTCATCCTTCAGGGTCCTTTAAAGGCGACCAATCCTCTCACGAAGCTCCTTAAAGTGAGCTGACCTTTATCCTTACTCCCTCCCCTTGAAAGCTCCGCCTTAAAGTGAGCTGATCCACGACCTGGTGAGATTCGCCCCTGCCCCCGTTGGGCTCGCGGGTCACGACTCCAGGGCAGCAGCAGCACCGACGGCACCACCACCACCACAACCACCACCAACAACAACAACTACAACAGCAGCCAGGACAGTGCTCTCTGAATGGGTCCTTTCCCTTAGAAAGTGTGCCCTCGGCTTTTAATTGCCTGAGGCATAGGGACTGTGGCAAGCAACACGAGGTAATAAATGCTCCACATGTCTTCTGTACCTCTTCTTTCCTCCTTCTTCGTCTCCTCCTGAGTCTATCATCCACCTCTAAGGCTTGTACCATATAAAGAGTCCCAGGAGACTGGATAAAAAGTTCGGCTGGCGTAAGCTTCCACACATGTGTCATTGCAAGGTGGTAGGGAACGCCAAGCGCTGCTGATGGCTCGAGCTGGCGCTGTTGTTATGGTACGAGACTAACCTTCCTGGCTGTTTCTCCTCTACACACCCCCTCTCTTTTAGAGTTTAAAAACATAGTACGGAAACAGAAAGGATTCTGGATGTGCGTAGCAGGTTGGCTAATGTTAGGACAGCAGGCACCTTCCAGACACTTCACCATAGTCTTAGTAGGTGTTCATCTCACATTTAGGTTGTTTGTTTCATTAAAGACAGTTTGTGATCGTGACGTAATCTGCTGGTTGCCCCACACTTGGCCACCATCACCGCAATTTTTGTGGCGAATCCTTCAGTCCTAATTCCTACATCTCCAATAACAAACATCCATTACCATCCATATTAGTCCACCACATTTCCAACTTTTAACTTTCCTGTGACACACACTGGATAAAGGGTAGGACTTCCGCCATATCGTCAGGGATCGGTGTCTGATTGGTTTCTTTGAAAAAACCTGCGAACAAATTCAACCAATCACAAGCGGGCGACTGTTACCAGTTGCAATATAATTTGTGATTTTGTTTGAATTTTTTTGCGAGTTATAATATGGGGCAGTTCCACCATGAGCCAAGACGAGGAGGTGTAGTCATGTCCATCCTTGTGTCCAGTGTGAGTCGAGGATTGTCCTCACCTGCTTCTGATAGGATTCGCCAAGACCCCCGTAAGGGCACCGCGGAGAAGAGGCCAACGATTAACACCAGCAACGAGAATAGTAGAAGGCAAGCACTCTGGTGGGGGAACATATTATATATCTATATATTTTTTATATATCTCATTATATTCTTTCCCTCTCGTCTATCTCATATAACTCGGAGTCCCCTTCATCCCTCCTGTCTGTCAGGGTTAACAGAATTAAGGTACTTGCGGAAATGGAACCAAGTGTGGATGGTTTCTTCAGCCGATTACAATAAAAGTGATACATAGATTAAATAATTTTACCTAGTGATTATTAATAGACTCACAAGCAGCTAAGAAACACAAAGCCACAAGTAGCTGAGAGATACAACCCACTAATAACTGAGATATACGAGAGAACTTTGTCCTCAGCTGTTTCAGGGCCAGGCGGTTGGTCATTATCCTACCTGAGGCAACTAGGGCTTATGACTTCAATCTGATCGTCCTCTGAAAACAAGTTCCCTTCATCATGTCATTTTGCGTCACATCTGTTGTTTGTTATGGAGGCTTCATTTAGCACATATGATTATAGATAGTCAAGTTGATATTCTAAAGTACCTAGATATACCAGGTAATCTAGATAGACAGATAGATAGATGGGAACTCATACGTTGAATGTTCCTCTGTTGTTAACGGTAAGAGCTACAACGGGAGTTTTATGGTCTCTGAAAATTGCGTCAAACCCCAACAACGGGATATTGGATTTTAGTTGTTTAGAACGACTTTTGTTGACTTTTGTTTAGTCTTTTATACCATCAGTTTTTTACACTCGAAATATAGCACTTAGAATACACTTAAAAAAAACACTTAGAAGCCCTTAAGTCTACCCATAACATCACTTTTTACACTCGAAAGAAAACACTTAGAACATACACTTAAAAAAACACTTAGAACACTTGAAGCCCTTAAATTTAATTACAAGCAAACAAACAGCAAGATTTTTTTGTGTAGATAAAACAAAATCCTAAAAGATATCAAAACATAAACGTCATTATTCTTACTAAAATAAACAAAAGCGAATTTTTTTTTGGAAATTTTCCCCATCCATCAAATATTCTCGTTTAAATACGTTCAGTTAATCAGTAAAACGTTGCTTCTGACAAACTACGGAACAATATAAAAAACTGGATAGTTAAGTGGAAAAAGTATTTGAGTTATTAGTTAAAAGATAAATTGATGGTTAAAGAGAAAGAGTGATATCTTTTGGGGTAGTTTTCATATTGTGGATAATTGATTACTATTGATTAGTATTGATTAGAAATGATAAAATAAGGGGTAATAATCTTCGAGTAAGGATTCACAAAGGTATTAATTACTAAGTATAATAATTCACGTATAATTCTTTTTTTATGATAATTCGTACTATGTAAAATGTAACATTAACAGAAACAAATGTAAAATAATATATATACTTTAACAACAAGGTTTACGTCGCTTTTGTTAACACTAAGATCAGTCCAGATTGGTCGATGGCTTGTCAAGACACCCATCTACCTTTTTTCTGCACGGCCTTAAGTCCTGTCTACATCATGTCTATGTATTTTTATCCTTTGTGTGCAGGCCTCGTGGGTTGAGGTAGACGATCAATGCGTAGATATGATGCCTATTGTATTTTATCCATTGAATAATTAATTTACCCGTATCCTCTACTTACGGTAACTAACTTCCCTTTCAGATTAAAGTTGACCTGTTTGTTGTTTTTTCTTCTCGTTTTTTTATCCTTTATTCCTCTTTTACATTTAGTGCTTCCTTTATGCATTTTAATATATTATTCAGTACATTAAATACCTTCATTATAATAATTCTAATTTCTATCAAAAACCCTTTTCACCTTTACTCACTAGTCAATATTCTTAAATCCAAATCTTTGGTCGCGTTCACAAGCGCACCAAATATACAAAAGAAGGTAAACAAAGGCGCATTCTGTGGTGCACCAATACTCCAAAAAAGGTAAACAAAGCGCGTTCATAAGCGCACTATAAATACTAAGCCGGCCAGACCTGTGACTCGCGTTTGCTCCTTGCTCGTCTCTTTCTACCCCCAGATGGAAGATGACGGCCTCCACGGTAACGACGACACCCGCTGCTTCATCCTTTCCACCCTGGCAGCCCAGAGAACGTCGAGGACGGCGTGTGTCCTCTGCCATCAGGCCCTCCTCGTCTTCGACCGCTACCCTCTACTGGATGGAACTTTCTTCCTCACACCTATCCAGCACGCCAAATCTGCCATTCCTGTGAGTACTGTCGAATTTTACTATGTATGTATGTATGTATGTATGTATATATACCACTACATCCACTTCAGCTTACATCAAGTAGTATTGACGAAAGTGTCTTATTTATATGTTAGTTTTTTATCCTTCACTCTTCATTCTTTATACACATTTTTTGGCCCGCTTAAGATTGAGGTGGAAGATGAGGGGTGTCTGGAGATGAGGTGGAGGAGGAGGTAGATGGATGGAAGGGAGGGTGGAAGTGAATGAATGAGTGAGTGAGGAAGATCTAGTGTGTGGAGTCAGGAACAGGTTGAGTGGTTTCTCCTGTATACTTTGATCTTTTACGACCCGGAGACTCCCATATAATGGCTAAGTCAACACGCCTGTTAAAACCCCAAAGTAAGACGAGCAAACAGGAATGACGCTCTGGTTCTCGCTACAGCTATAATTCCCGGGAAAAAGTGCTGATTAAGGTTATTCCAAGATTGTCAGAGTCAACATCGAGCTGCGTCTCTGGAGGTCAAACGAATATTTGTTGCGGTGTTTGAGGCTTTCTTTAAAAGGCTTCCCAAGGGTCTCCCAAAGGCTTCTATTTTTTTTTCTCAAGCCTCATATTTTCCCCGTGAGTTCTTCGAGACATTACAAGAGCTCTCAGGTATATTCCTCAGTGATTATTTGTGTTTCCTAAAGATGGTTCCTCTGAGATATTCAAAGGTTTTTCCCACTTACTCTTTTTCTTTTCTCAGGAGATACTTACCCTCACCCTCCCCACCCCCGTCTCTCTAACCCTCTACTTGGGTTTTTTGTTACAGTTTGAAATAAGTCGAGACTTACCGGGATAAAGATGTGTATAGTGGACTTCAACCTGGAAAAAAGGAAGAGATCCATTATGGTCTTGGCTGATACCGTAAACATTTCTTTTATGGTCTTAACCAATGTTTTAAAAAACTATTATGGTCTCTACGTCCCCCCCCCCCGCCAAGAAAAAATAAATAAATACGTGACTCACTCCAAAACATTAAGTTACATTAAAAAAAAAGGGCGTTTGACACTTAAAACTTTACTAACCAAGTTTTCAATTTAGGAAAGAAAAATCCTGAAATCTAGTTAAGATTCGCAAAATCCAGAAACTCGAATCTCATTGCTCGATGAAGCCCAACACACGAGCCAAGGCGGGTCTCGCTCACCACAGGACCTAACACAACAACACGAGTCGTCTCAGCCTCTTCTCGATCTTGCTTGACGGTCCTATGAGACTCTTGTTCTGTCTGACGAAAGTTATGAGGACGCTGTGTTGGGTGACTGATAGTTGGGTTTGTGTAGTGCCAGTGCCAAAGTTGAGTCATTTAAAGGTGCCATAGGCTTGTGTTGAGCCACCTAGGAGTGCCAGAGGTCAAAGTTACTAGGGTTTAACAAGGAGACTCAAGATAAAACGTCTATGTCCATTTCCCGCTGTCACCCAGATATGTCAAAGCAACTCTTGTGTTGCCTACAAGTATCACAGGAGGTCCGTAATGTTGATAGCCCAGTGAGGTTTAACTCACACCTGGCAGCATACCTGTTATGCTCACCCAGGAGTAAACCATTCGTACCTCCCTAAGACTCCCTCATCTTGTAACTCCTTTCTTGTCTCTCTCAACTGGTAACTCACTCCCTCTCGACACTCACATTGTAACTCTCTCTCTCTCTACACCTTTGAAATAAATCTCTGCCTCTTCTCACCTGTTTTCCCCTCACTCACTCCAATGTTTTTACTCTTCTTCCCCAGCATTTCTCGAATCTTCCCTCATCTCATTCTATCCTCCTGTTAAAATAAATTTTTCCCCTTCTTCCCCCCCACCTCTATCACTCCCCACCTCTATCCCTCCCCTTCTACTCTCCCTGGCTTTTTCATTTAGCGTTCAATGTGCCTGGTGTCCCGTAGCTTCGTCTTCTGTTCCTAAGGGAGTGATCGGTCTCCCTGAGGGCTCTTAAATTACAAAGAGTGATACGCTAAGTGATGTGCAAACTTGGCCTTTAAAATGGCCAATCTGGCCACGACAAGAAATCAACGGGATTAAAAATAGCGTCGAATTTGTAATGGGATTCGACATGAAGACGACGAATATGGAAGTCTCCGGCGTCCAAAAGAGGGAAACTAAAAAGGTACGAATCTTAGAGAGTTGTGGAGCGAGGGATGGAGGCGGCCTTGTCGCTGAAGGACTGGTAGTTTGCATGTGAGGCGTCTCATTAAGGGGGGGGGGCGGAGAGAGAACCTACACGACCCTCCTACACCTGGTGCTCTCTCTCTCTCTCTCTCTCTCTCTCTCTCTCTCTCTCTCTCTCCTTCCTCTGATGGTAGGGAATAGTGAAGATCCCTACATCTGCAATTAGCACTAAACTGACTGATTAAATGACTGACTGACTATCTCCAGCTAGTAACGTTAGTGGCCCGTGTCAAGAGCTGAGCTATAGTGGTTAACTGCCTATATACACACCACTCTTGACTCAACCTGAAGAGTCAAGAGTGCTGAGAGTAAGAGCCTCACAGATTAAAGAGGTTTGCCGGATTTCGGATTAAAGAGTTTTGTAAGATGGATTAAAAACCTTAGCCGGATATTGGTGATTTTTTGGCCGGATTTGGAATTAAAAAGCTTCACTTAATTCTATAATAAATTGGGATCTTTGGGTTTTTACAGCAAATTTTTCGATTTTTTTTCATGACACAAAACACGAAAATTATTTCCCACTGTTTTTAATTTTCATTCTTCCTCTTCTCACTTACTCATCTTGGTGTCATTGTGCGTCTTCCTATTCACTTCTACTTCACATTTCTCATTCTTTTCATTTTTCTTGTGCCTCTCGCCTCCTCCTTCATGTCTCTCGTTATTTTCATTTTTTCTTTTAGCTTCAACTTCGTGCTCTTGTGTGTGTCATGTGCTCTCTCTCTCTCTCTCTCTCTCTCTCTCTCTCTCTCTCTCTCTCTCTCTCTCTCTCTCTCTCTCTCTCTCTCTCTCTATATATATATATTGTTCTGTTCTCACCTGTTCTTTCTTTGTTTCATTCTCTCTGTTTCCACCTCAGCATTCTTTCTGCTTTCCCAAATCTTTTATACTTTTTTCATTGACTTTCTCTAGTTTCTGTATTTTTCCTTTTTACTAATGCCTCGACCTCCGCCACCCTCCTTCCATCTCCCCCTTCCGTCTCCCCCACCTTCCATCACACCCATCCTCTTCCTCACTTCCATCTCCCCACCCCCCTATCCTCCTCGATCTCCTCCCTGAGTACCTGCAACGTCTTAAGGGTCATAGAAATCTTAGGGGCACCTCCCCATCTTTCTACTACAAGGCTCCTTAAAAGTCCCTCACGAAGCACAAGGGACCCGTCTTACTAACGATCTTCTGCCGTGCCTCCCACATGCTGTAGGAGGTACTCTATGGCTCCTTGCCAACTCGTCCTCACAATTACCGCCTCACGACTTTTTTTTTCTACAGCAGTCCAACAGAAGCTTATGTGGAGAGGCGTAGACGGTGATGGGGTCTAGTGTGTTTAAGTATTTCTAAGACCCTCTCGTTTCTTCCTTTCATACATACCTACATCTTTCGTTTCCTCCCCCTTCTTTTATTGTTTCTTCTTCCTCCTCCTCCTGTCCCTTTTCTTCGTTTTCTCCTCCCTCTTCTCCGTCTTCTTCCTCCTGCTCCCTCTTCTTCCTCCTACTCCCACTTTCTCCCCTATTTTATTGTATTTTAACACATGTGCTGAGTTCTTCAATGTGTTTACATTTTTCACTTGTGTTGACTTCCTTAACTCTCACCATCCAGAAGACCAAGAACCTCATTACTCAACACCGCGTCTCCTTCTTCCTCCTCACAGGTTCACGTAGAGGGTCGACAGCAGTACCTGGCGGCGGTGTGCATGGGTTGCTTGGAAGGTTGGTCAGTCAGTCTCCGGTGCGCCTTCTGCAGTGCCCGCTGGAACGGCTCGGCGCTCATTCTGGGTACCATGTACTCCTTTGACATCTTCGCCGCCATGCCCTGCTGCGAGAGTAGGTTAAAAGTAAGTACTCCCAATGATGATTTGTTGTGGTGGGATTTTCCAAGGTTAAAACTTAGTAACCCCGGTGATGCTGTAGTTGACGGATTTCCTAGGTATTTTTTTATACGTATAAATACCCACAGGTGATTTTTTGTGGAGGGGGATTTACCTTGAGTAGAATACCTGACTATAACGAACTACGTCAACACTTACACAACCACCTATAAGTAACTACGTATACGTACACACTCACTTATACCCTAAGAATTCAACGCAAGTTTCTTCACTGAGTAAGACTTACTTAGGCTAACTCTTACTATTTTTATTTATTTCGCAATGAATTAGTTCGTCTTATGTTACTAAAATGATTGAGAGTGAGAGAGAAATATATAATGGAATAGAGAGAGAGAGAGAGAGAGAGAGAGACCGACCGACCCCCTAATTATCAACAGTATTTGCTCCATGATGTAAACAAGGACTCCCCCTCAAAAAACCCGCCGCCCATTTTCTTTGCGTATATGTTTCCAGTATACAGTACTTGTAAAGAACTAGTTACCCTATTTTTTTATTATAAATTTAAATTTGAAAATTCACAAATATTCCTGTGAAAAAAAAATATTGAAATTTGGGGTAAAATAAAACGCATTATATTTCCTCAATGACATTACTACTTTTATAAATTCAACACGAAAAATTTATATACTGTATATATTTTGGGTGAAAGTTTTTTTAATTGGTTGTAGAATGAAGTTGCAATGTATTCTTTTAATGTAACTATTAATGTCGTAAAATTTAACACAAAAGTTTCACACATAGCCTATATTGGCCAGGAATTTTTTTTAATTTTGTTGAATAATAATAATAATAATAATAATAATAATTTTTTTATATAATTGTCTTAATATTAATGCTTAAAGACCGTACTTACTGAAGCATAGACAGTCATAAATAACAACGCTTTGTACACTGTAGGAGCGTGCCCACACCAAACACCTATACAGTTATACATCACCCAAACAGGTAGTATATTTATATCACTTAACACAGTATTAGTTCCACTTGCATTTTTGCTGTGTAATGAAAATAGAAATCCTCTTTGTCAACAAAATTTGATGGCTAAACTGACACTCGGCGCCCCATAAAGACTGCCACTTTCATTTACAATTGTTTTATTCGGCAACATAAATATTGAAATTTATGCAAATATATGTAATTCTACCATAACTTTTTTTCTTTCCTTTGTAATGTTTTGGGCCAAAATACATATTCATGCTTTTTGTTGTGGAATTAATACACTTTTGTAATAAAGGAAAAAAGTAAGATGATAAGTGTTCACTTTTTTGTGTGAATATTATTGGCGATATTTTATAGCTTTTGTTGTAGGTGATACTGTACTGTTACACTCGTCCAACATACACCATTTGAACAATTAGTACAAACATCAGGATATAAAATTCTTTTTGACATAAATTACAAATAAATTATTCATAACCGTAGGTAATTATTTGGTAAATAATATTGATAATACACAACACATGGCTAGAATTTGGATGCAAATGTAAATAATAAATTACTGAAATTTGACAGGTAAATATGTATTGTATTAAAAAAAATATACATCCCTTGTTTTTACTGTAATTGTAAAGTGTAAATAATGAATTATACAGACCCATTTGGTCGGTAAATATTAATATAACGCCTGGGATGTTTTTTTTAATACATTACAAATAATTGGCTGTGCCCATACATTAAGTCTATAAATATAATTATTATACTATTATTATTGTTATTGAAAAGTTATTGGTTTACACCTCGGCAAGTAATCTGCACTGGTAGATGTCAGCACTACAGTAGTACGAGCCATTACTAAGCGTCAGCTCAGTTAGGACAAAACAGAGTTGCACGCTTAAAGACCTTAGTTGTTGAAGCGCAGTAATATTATTACAACAGCTAGGAGTCAGTACTGAAGGTTCCCCTGCTGATTTATAGCCTAACCCTAGATGGACACTAACTTAGACGGACACTAACCTGATTTGGACACAAACTTAATCTCAGACGAATACTAACCTAACTTACACTAACTTAACCTAACTTAGACGGACACTAACCTAACTTTGACACTAGTTTAACCTAACTTAGACGGGCACTGACCTAACTTGGACTTTAACTTAACCTAACCTAACTTGACGGACACTAACTTAATCCAGCCCAACCGAACCTAGTTAAACCTATTCGACCCTCAACCCAGATCCGCAGGTCCTAATTCAACCTAAACTATTCTAACCTAACCAACTTAACCCAACCTAAGCTAACCACACCTAACGTAATCCAGCTTAATCAAACTTAATTCAATTAACCGAACTTAACCTAATCTGACTAAACATACAAGGTAACAGAAACACATTTAGAGTATTTTTATTTTAAGAGAGAGAGAGAGAGAGAGAGAGAGAGAGAGAGAGAGAGAGAGAGAGAGAATTACTTGAAGCGTAGGTGAAAAATCCTGAATCGTCTCATTGTGTGCCCCAGCCGACAGTCACCTTCCTGCTAACATCATAGCGGCGCCTTTGTCGGCCCCCACAGAGTGTGTGTGTGTGTGTGTGTGTGTGTGTGTGTGTGTGAGAGAGCGCGCGCGCGCGCTAGTACGACAGTAGCGCGCTCGTCTCTCCAATTCGTACGTATGTGTGTGTGTACAGGCGCGTGCACGAGCGTGTATGTGTACCTTTGTCAACATCAACAAAGACTACAAAGGTCACTGAGTAATTACCATTTCCGAAATACTCAAAAAATACAACATTCCTCCTCCTCCTCCCCACACACTCCCCCTCTCCCTACCTTCACCTCCTCTATACTCCCCACACTCCCTCTCCCTACTCCTCTAACCAACACCAAACCCCCTTCCTTCTTTCCTTCCCTCCCTCTCTCCCCACGACCCAACAATTGTTACTTAGTATAAAACTCCCAGGGTAAACACAACGCGTAATCTCAATTGTACTTGGAGAAAAAAAATTAAGCAGAAAACTCAGGAGTATATGAGAGAAGAGAATGCAAGCACTTTTAAGGCAAGCACTGGATCAAGGCCAAAGTTAACGTCCCATACTCTCGCCTTTCTCCCGTCCCCCCTCCCTCCCTCCCTCTTATCCAGTAAGTATCTCAAACAATGGAGGCTTTTACGTAAACGGAGAGTCAAAAGAAAGAGAGAGAGAGAGAGGACGATAGAATATTGCATGCATAGGAAAGGAGGGGGGGAGAGCTCAGTATTTTATCCCCTTCACCCCCCTCCCCCTTACAGCCTCCCTTCACCCCGTACTGAGCTTTCCTAAGTCGGTAATCCTTCTCCCCCTTCCTCCCTCATCTGTCACCCCTCTCCCACCCCCCCACACACGGGTCATCTCTACAGCCCATACCCCCCCCCACACCACACCCCCCACACCACACCCTCCACCCTGTTTTCTGGACACGTATGGTTGGACACGCTTCTAAGTGGGCACATCCATACAATTATTTCCTTCTCCCCCTTCCCTTCTCCCCATCACCCCTTTATCTCCTCCCCTTGTCTTTATACCCCCTTACCCATCACCCTTAAGTTCGCCTCTTCTCTTCCTCCTCCTTCCCCTTTATTCTATTTATTCCATCCCATGAATTACCCCCTTTTTTCCTCCCCCTTTCTTTATCCCCTCACCTCCTCTTTCCTTCTCTTTGTGTTACTTTCTCTTTAAAATTCTCAGTTCCTTTCCTCTCTCGTAACATCACCCCCCTCCCATCTCTTCAAATTTACCCCTTTCACTTTTTATTCAACTTCCCATTTCTCTCATCTCCCAATTAGTCATTCTTTTTTTCCCGTTTCCCTGCCATTCTTCTTCTGTCATTTCCCCTCTCATCATCTATTTACATTCCTCATTTTTTTGTCATTTCTCATACATTTACTAATCTGTCTTTTCTCTTCCCTCTCTTTTCCCATTCTCACCCCTCTCATCGCCTATTAACTCTCCCTTATTGCTATTTCCCTGTCATTCTTTCCCTGTCATGTATTTTCCCCCCTCAACATCTTTTTTTTCTTCATTTCCTTGCCATTCTTTCCGACTTTCTGCCTTAACACGTAAACAGAAGAATAATTTCCCTTGAAGCTTGTTGCTGTGGCCCAGGAACTAAGAGGCATCATTGTGTTCTCGACGACCGAACCAAAGCCAATAACTGTCTTAAGGAGAGAGAGGGCAGGAGTGGGCAGAAAGTGGAGGTGGAGGGGAGTGGGAATTAGCGGGGGATGAAGGGAGAGGAAGAGAGGTAGTGGAGAGGGAGAAGGAGGAGAGGAGTAAAATGGGGGGGAGGGAAGTGATGTAAGATGAGAGAGAGAGAGAGAGAGAGTCCTATTTTGAGATTAAATGAGTTATTACAATTAGAGACTAAACGGTGATGAAATTGGTTCATGTTAATTGAAATAAGCTAAAGCAATTAAAGTGATCGTTGCAACACGCTAAATGGATTTTTACAGGACGAATTGGGTTGTCATCTACGGAATAGGATTGGTTATTAACAGACAAAATACATCATTTACTGCCTAAATAGGATTGAAAGGATATGCACGAATATTTAATAAGCGGAACAACGTAAAATGCTTTAAAGTAATGGAGAGTTTATAATAAAATAAGGGTACAATGGCCGAGTGGATACAACACTCGTCTTCCGTCACTTAGGGTTCCTAGATCGATCCTGTGACACTCCCAGTCCATCCAGCTGTAAATAGGTACCTGATTTTACAGTTTGGGGAAGTCATGGCGGTCTAGTACAGTGTCGGCTACGTTGTTTACATACCAGAGGCTTTATGTACAGTAAGGTGTCGTATCCACACTATCCCCGACTGGCCATTATGCCTACAGTATGGGACCCACGTAATGAAATAATCTTTAATATAAGGATGTGAAATTAATATGAGGAGAAAAGCAATATGGCCAACATGTGTGACCAGCGACTGATGAAAGGTTGCCAGGGAGACCAGACTGGAAATTCAAATTATCATTCGCCTT